CGATATGTTACCGTAAATTTAGCTGTTTTATTAACAACATTAACTGTACTGTTTTTTCCCCTTTTTTTCTCAACAGTTTAAAATTACCATGTATCATTTACCATGTATCACTAGAGTCTAAAGTATCACGGCTCAACAAATTTAAGAGATTTTCTGTAAATACTAAATTTGTCGGGACAAAATGAAATTATTGAATTACACTATGAGATTTTTTAAATTTTTACATAAATTAATTGACAGCTTAATGATAAGGAATGAAAAGAAAATTTAGGACCATCAAATTCCTACATTGATATCGCCGCTGCTTTAACTTTAGTTAGTAACTATATACTTTTTCATTATATTGCTCATCGACTACATGTTTTCTTGTTACTATTGATTATCTTTTGTATTTTTATCAGGTCTTTTTTTTAGTTTTTTTTTGTTTCGAGCCAATAGTCTATCAAAAATAACCTTAGATCCTCATGTAAAATACATTGAATATATTATTGCAGACGATACGAAACATGTTCAAAAGTTTCCCAGTGTACTATTCATGGCTTGAAGGTTCTTAGAAACTTCCTAGTGAGCAAAATGAAACGATAAAATGAGTAGCCGTTGACCGTTGTGGCGCAAAACAAACACTGCGTCATTGGTGGTTCAATTTCTTGTTCCCGTTTTAATTTACGTTACAATTTTTTTTTAAGTTCGTCCAAATAAGAATATCACCTTTTTATGATCACAAAGATAGATTGAATCTAAGTTCTATTTTACTCTTACTAAAATAATTTATAGTTAAATAAATGTCTAAAAAAATTTTGATCATGAATTTTAAATGTCTTTTTTTCCCTTAAATTATGTCAGTCAAATGATGTCACATAAATTGAGATAGAGGAGATAGGCTCCTATATCCAGAGAGAGAATCAAAATTTGAACTCTATCGATTAAAATTTAGGATAGTGACATCAAGACATGTTTGAACATGCGATATAAAATCATGATTTGAAATTAGATTAATTTAAAGTTGAAATTTTTTTTGAACAAGAAATTTAAATTTCGTAATAAACATAAAAACCCTATAGGTCGTAAAACTATCAATACTTACTGAATTTTTATACAATCTCACTAAATGATCAAATCATAGTTCATAAGCAAGATATCTAAATATCCTAAAGCGTCATCCTTCCTCTTAAAAAATAGTTACTACTAACAAGTTATTATTTATTATAATCTTTTCACATGGTATGAGAATAATCTCTTTTGTAAAAGATACGATCTTTCTAAAAATTATAAAATACAAACTTATGAATCAAGCTTTATATGTTAAAATTTTGAAATACC